CTTTCTCTTTTCGAAAATAACTCCGCGTAAACTTGGGAATGATAAAGGTCCCAATTTCCATTTTTCTTCAATTTTACCACTTTTTGTACGGACATTATATTTTAATATCACATTATGCATAAAGAATTTAATTTCATTTACCGCCAAAAATCTTCCAGGACATCTGGGTAATTTACGATCGCGATCGTTTAGTTATACTTGATTTTATTTGTGAAAATGCATAATTATATAATAACTGAATATTATACTTACGCATGTTTACTACCTCCGAATGCCAGAAAATCTTTACTAACTTTTGCTGCCGGAGAATTTTTATTAAAATGTCTAAATGGATCAAATGAATTCGGATTTTGTCCCTGTAATGATTCATCAAGATAAATATCATCATAATATAAATCAACTATATGATTTCTAGGTACTTGTAACCCATTTGAAAATGTATAATTTTTCATTGTAATGTGTGGAAATGCTACCACATCTCCAGTTAATCTTAATGATTCTTTAACAAAGCTATCCAATTTTTTCATTTTATTAAAAGCTCCAAGTGGGAGTATGCCATTCTTATCGGCTTCCTTAACTACTTCTAATTGTTCTTCGTATAATTCTTGCATGTATTCAGTTCTTGATGCCAAGTCGATAAGAGCGTTTGCACAAGCTCTTGGTGCGTTAATCATCGATATTAAGATAAAAAGAGCCATCTTATCAGCCAATTCTGAGTAATTGATGTAATTAAGATCAAAACCTTTTTCTTCAATAATATCTTGAAGCATGTCATTAGGACGTTTCCATAAATCACCATATTCTTGTTTCTCTTGTAATCGTTTACCGATTTGTTTTTTTATAAGTTTAACTAAGACATTTAGATTTTTCGTAGCTGGATTGTATAATCCTAATCTAATTGTTAATTTATTAACATAATCTTGAAGTCCGGGATAAATCAAATCAAAAATTGGTGGTATTGCAATATATATTAAGTTATCAAATGTAAATCTCGCAAATGTGGTTATAACCTCATCACTCTTTGCTTCCTCCTAAAATAAGAAAATGAGAAATTAAAAGTTATAAGAATTGTTTTTATATTAAAAAAAAAAAAAAAAAAAAAATGAGATCGCTTACTTCGCCAATGAAAATATTTGCCGTAGGAACGGCGATAAGTTTAGTTAAAAGAAAGTACAAATTATTTAGAACCGTTGGTTCTTCACATTCACCGATAAATCTTTGAATACCCGAAAGAATACTTTTTTGCATACGTTCAGAGTATAATTCTAATTTATTCGTAATATACTTTTTGGTTGCAAATGCATTATATCTTATATCTCCTATTTCTATTAGAATTTTCCTGCTAAAGAATTCTACAGAGTCAAATGCATCATCCCTTGATAATACTTCATGAATATGATCTTTACCTAAAATTTTGCACATTATTAAAAGGATTTGTTTATTAAGTGCTTTATATCTTTAACGATTTCGTCATTTGCGCAATCTAAATTGAGATTTACAACTTACCAACAAACGTCATAACTTGACCCCATATATATAGACTAAAGATATCACCGTACTAAATTTAATAAAGACGACATCAGTGGACGCGATGCAAAATTTTTCAAGAAAAGTTTCACAAGTTTTACCGACCTCTTTTCTACATTGTTTAAAGAATTCTGCACTATCAAACATATAACTATAAGTATGGCCAATAATTGGGAATTTATAGCGAACGAGTGGTGGCATTTTCTAATATAAAATTAATGAGAAAATTTTAAATACAAAACCTACACGAAAAAAAGAAAAATTAAAAATTTTAACCATACCAATTTTGGACATCTTGGATGCTTTAACATGTAAAGCATTGCCACTAGAATGCATCCTAGAATTATTTGGTACATAAGCGAAAAAGAAATTAGGCGGGTTTTATTTTATTTTATTTTTGTTTTATTCACTTGTTTTTTATCTTTTTGTCTGAAAAAAAATAATTCTAATTTTTAAAACATGAAAAGAATGGGAATATGGCCTTTTTATGAGTAAATTCAATTTTATGTTTTGATTATTCGGAATTAGAAATTTACATTATTACCAAAATAATATATTTAATAACACAATTAGCGAGTTATCACCAATTATATCATTTTGGTTGGAGTCACGTAACCATTTACACTTGAAAATAGTTAATGAAACGGATTATGCTACAAATATTTCTTTACATTCCTCAAATGAATTTTTAAAGAAAGTCTTTGATTGGTAAATTTTTACGGTACATTAAAATCACCAAAAGAGCGGATGATCTACATTTTATAAATTAACGTCCAAAAAAAAATAATTAATTGTTTCATTTTTAGAAAAATATTTTAAACGAAATAATATTTTCAATAGCAAATTTTAAATTGTTAATTAATTCAATTCAATATTTCCATTATTATTGGTAAAAATGTTTACCATTTCGCTCAAAATAGTGATTTTAATAGCTTAGCTCTTACATTTGATTAACCTTATACTTTAAATCATTGTATGACCGATCGAGAATGGAATGGAAAATATATTCCTACATCCGTTTATTAACTATTTCTGAATGTCAACAATATTTTTTGTACTTATTTATCTAAAAAGATAAAAAAAGATATCATTAGCGAAAATCAATCCTTATCGTTATTGTTTATTATATATTATTAATTTGTGTAATTTCCTTTTAAAGGTCATAGATTGACAGAAATCTTTTTTTTTTTTTTTTTACATATTTTAATGAACGATCTTTTTTTTTTTTTCGGGAAAAAAAAAAGTTTAATTTTCGTTTATCACATGATAAAAATAATTATACCACCTACTTCTGCCTTATAATATGAACGTTATTATGACGAAATTCGGGATAGGAGATTATGATAATATTTTTGGTTTGTCAAATTACTTCATAAATAAACTAATTAGTATATAATTAGTATTCATTCCGATTGTTTCGGAGTTTATGAATAAAAGATATTCAATATATTTTCTAAATCATTATATTTATTCGAACTTACAGAAGTAGCAAATCGTGCTTTTAAAAACGCCTTGACTTCAATATCGTTGGGCAATTAGTAGACCATTTGATATATTCGAAACAATACAAACGTACTAAAATCGAGGTGCCGGGAAAAACTGGCTTTCGGATGCAAGAATTGATTCTTATCGACATTTATCAAAAATTTTTGTGAAATGCTTAGACCTTTATTAAAATGACATCATATAACCACTATCTTACGTTAAACTTATAATGTATTTTTCACTTTAGACATTCTTATAAAAAAAAATTAAATAAAAATATAAGAAAAGCTAGCAAGAAATTCTGTTGTTGGGACAAAATATAGCTCATAACAACATCAACAGTTGCAAACTATTAACAACATCAACTTGTAGAGATGAGAGAATTATGATGACACCTCCGCAGGGCACAAGGAGATAAGCAAAATTTTTAATTTTAATTTCGAAATTCTCTCAACGCAAAAAAAAAAAAAAATTTCCGAAAAAAGAACAGCGTGCGTTTAGCAGAAGCATCTCCAGTTTAGCGAAAGAAATGCCTTACCGATAGAAAGGTGTTATTGTGTAAGAACTTGCAAGATAAGCTATAAAAGGTAAGATGCCGAGGCGGATTCAGCAATCACACTGTAATAATGGCTTTATAAAGATTAAAAAATTAGAAAGAGTAAAAATGAACTTTGAGAAAAAAAAATTTGCTAGTAAAGAGGTATATTTAGTTCCAAGACTTTGAAACAAAATGCCTGCAACAAAATAACAATTTATTTTTTTTTGCAGCAGTAGCAGAAACAAGAAGTTTCGCCATCTTCATTGAATAAGAAATTGCACCAGTGAGATGGTTCCGAAGAAAGAATAAGTATAGAGAGCCATCTATCGGTAGGGAGATGTGGATCTAGGATAATCTAGGATAGAAGCATTGTTAATAAAAAAAATTGTAAAGCACATTAAAAAAATTTTTTTTATGACAAATCACCTCGTTCAATGGTAGATAATCGATTCTATATAGAATAAATATTTTTGAATCAGTGTTCCTAATGTTAAGTAATTATGCAAATTCATTTGTAGAGGTAAGTATTATCTAAAAATTAAATTAGTCAACCAGAAATTAATGATGATAAAAAATTACATACTTGTTTTTAAGCGTTCCAAGTACTGATGCTTGAAGCTTTTTTCTGCATGTTCTAATGCTTGATATTTTTCCCCATGGAATTCGTCGTTACTTCGAATTTTCATCAATATTAGTCATAGTGACATATTAACACTTTTTAAAACAATTTCCAACTGTAAAATAGATTTCTTTTTCCAATCAGCGTAGTTGCCTTTTCCATCCTAATTTTCCTATAAACAGCTATTTTTACTTTGGACTATACATTAACTTCCATTGTAATGTCCTATAAAAAAAACGTAATTCAGTCTCTATATTCACTTAGAGCTTTTTATTTTCCAAATTGTTCAATATGTGTTCCACAAGAGTCAAAAGTTCCTTAGTGATGTCGTTTTGTTCTTCCATCATGACAATTAAATGTTTTGTGTTGTCGTTTAGGAGTGAGTATATATTCGTGG